TCTAGTGGACAACAACAAAATACCCTGTCTTCACCCGGAGTTGATTTTCATCTCTAGTCCTGAAAGAGGCTGGGTGGCTTCATCCTCTTCTGCTGTGAAACCAGCAGGGGGTGCCGGAGCCCCAGGGAAGCCACAAGAGGGGTGGATTCCTCCTATGAGAAAGGCCCACAGGGGAGCAGCGTGTGGAGTGTGGACTGCCTGCCACCCTTCCAGGAAGCAGCTGGTCCTGGGCCAGTGTGAGCGGGCACACCTGCAGGAGTAGCAGTGAGCATCAGCAGGTCAGCCTATGTCCTGGAGGCTGCCTGAGGCTGGGGGCCTGCAAACCCACACTGCTGGCCCTGGTGAGGTGCTTGACAGGCACCGTAGCTGGAGCCTGGCCTTGGGTGTATGTTCTGTCTCTGAATTTTTTTATCCAGTACAGAAAGGTGCGTTCTCTGCCTGTCCAGTCCTGGAGCTGCAGCCCTGAGTGGCTGGGGGAGGGGCTGTAGGATGTTTGTGGATGGTACCTTGTTCAGAGCCCTGTATTTCCCAAGCCTGAGCTGAGCTGTAGGGGGTGGATTTGTGCCTCTTCTCCTGGCTGGCTCTGGACTACATTAAGATGGATCGATGCCAGAATTGTCGTCAGCAGGGTGCTGTGAAATCAGATGTCTGGCACACCGGATCCTGCTTATCGACCAAGATCCCCGCTTCAAAAGCGGCTCTTCCGCTGCAGGAAGCTGCAGCACAGTGCTGAGAGCTGAGGCCGTGCTGGTCTTCTCCTGGGCCTGAAGCTACTCTGGGATGGATACCCCTCCCCGACTTTCTAGCCTTCCTTGGGGCTGACTGTTAGAAGACAGGGCTGGAACTCCTTGCTCAGAAACCCAAAGGAGCTTTTACCACTGTGTTGCACATGGTCGGTAATCAGGGACACTGACCCTCAATCTCGTGCAGCTCCAGGAGTATCCAGGACCTCTGGCCCCCCACACTACGCCAGGAAGTTAGTTCATGCTTGGTTGCATTCACTAACAGAAGCCTCGTGTGTGCAGTCAGCAGCACCGAGTGCTGTCTTGGGTATGTTCTGCTCTGGCTGTGGCTCTGGCAAGTGTCCCTGAGAGTTCAGTAGGAGTTTGCCGACAGGTGCACTCACTGCTGAGGCCGTCACCACAGGGGAGGAGGCAGTCTTCTGCCTTAGCCTTGCTTGTTCCTCCGACTCCTCAAGCTGAGTAGCTGTAGAGCTCTCCCCTGGATCTTGCTGCGTCTTCAGAGGACAGGGTGTGCGCATGACCGTGGGCCAGGCAGAGCTGGCCAGCAGTCGCACAGACAGAGGCCAATGCTCACAGAGCCAACAGCTTGCTGCTTCATCTGTCAGGACGAGTACAAGCTCAGCAAGGAGAGGCTGCAGACCGTCAGCTGTGTGTGCGTCTGTGGTGCCCAGCAGACGTCCTTACGGCGGCACGCAGAGCCTGCTTCCCCGGTCTCAAGAAACAGTGTGATTGTGCATCCTGCTGGCCTGTGCTCTTGGGTACAGGAGTCAGCATCTGTTATCAGAAAGGAAATTGGGGGTACCTTAAGGTAGGAGGCCCCTCAAGCACCAGGTGAGCTGAGTCTGTTGTCTGGGTCCAGTAGATGTGGTTGCAATACACTACACAGTTACCCTTCACTGCACAGTCCCTGTGTAAGTTGTGGAACTCGCTGCTGCTTACTGCCCTTCTCAGTGTGTCCGTCTGGTCTGAGCTGGCTTTCCCAGTTGCTCAGGAAGTGGAGGGCAAGTGGGGGTTGGGGGCCTCTTGTTGGCTCCACTCTGTCTTGAGAACTTTGTAATGTGAACTCATTTTTCAAGGCAGATCATAACTGGGATCCCCCTCCCCCCCAGCCTCTCCTCCCCTGCAGTCTTTCAAAACAGAGTTTCTCTGTGTAGCTTGGAGGCTGTCCTGGAGCTCTCTCTGTAGACCAGGCTGGCCTTAAACCCACAGAGATCCTCCTGCCTCCGCTTCCCACACCTGGCCATTAATGGGAGTGTTCCAGGGAGCTTGTCTGCCAGCATCAGCAGAGCTAACGTTTCTTTTCTTCTGGGTGTTTTTTTCTTTTTTTTCCTGAAGGTCGAAATAAATCATTCAGAGTCCTGGATGAAATGCTGCCCTTCCTTGTAGTCTCCATGGGATTGGTGAATGATAGTCCCCCTTGAAAATAACTTGCATAGCCGGGCGGTGGTGGTGCACACTTTTAATCTCTGTGAGTTCGAGGCCAGGCTGGACTGACAGCCTCTAAAACAATACAGAGAAACCTTGTCTCGTAAAACAAAAACAAAAAAACAAAACAAAACAAAAAAAAAGCTCAAGTCCAAAGTCTCTTCTGAAAAGAAACTCAAATCAAATTCTTGGCCATGAGCTTCTATAATATATAAGAATTTTTGAAAATTGCATCCTTGGCCGGGCATTGGTGGCTCACACCTTTAATCCCAGCACTCGAGAGGCAGAGGCCGGAGGATCTCTGTGAGTTCAAGGCCAGCATGGTCTATAGAGTTCCAGGGCAGCCTCCAAAGCCACAGAGAAACCCTGTCTCGTAAAACCAAAAAAAAAAAAAAAACTTGAATAAAATGACCAACAAACATCTTTATCTTTGGTCCAGAGCATTTAGGAGAGCCTGCCTCCCTGGGTTCATAGAGGAGGGCACACCAGGGCCTGTCAGAGTCCCCTGGGCTCTGTTCTCATCAGGGAACCAATTCCACGATGGCAGCGCAACCCTTTGTCTTCCAGCCCACGCGCTGCTCTCTCCCAGGCCTTCTCCACTGGTGGGTGAGAAGTGCATTTTGGGGGAAGTGTTTTCTCTCGGGGCTTCTGCCGTCAGCCAGAGAAACGCAGAATGCATTGAGCTGGGTTAGAGAGTGGCCCTGGAAGACCAGCTCTGCTACCCTGCAAGACTTAGTGCCTGTCCACACTGAGAAGGGCTTTCTGGGTTTGCAGACCATGATGTGAAGCTTCTCTAGGTCCCTTAGTGGTTGATTTAAACCTCCATGTGGATCCTCTGGCCTTCGAGTCCAGAGCCTGGTTTCTGTTCCCTATCATGGCTAGGGGACAGGAGCCTTGAGAAGAGGATTAGGACAAGACAGGACATGGGGGCACAGCAGGGGTCATCAGGGCCCTAATGAATTTCCAATTTCACACCGTGACAGCCTCAGCGCTAAGCCATCCTAGGTCTCACCACTACCTCCTTGGGGAGCAGATGCCCCTGGGGGCTGTGGCCATGCCTGCTTTTACCACCCCATAAGCATTGCTCCCTGACTCTTTTCTTCCTCATGAGGACTGATAACACTGAATTTCAGGAAGGAAGCGGGGCCTCCACAGAGCTTAAGGAAAGAGTTTAGGGTGTGCTGGGGGCGAGGGGCCCTGAGCCCAAATTCTGTGGGACATAAGGGACATGGGTATGATAGCATCCCTACACATACTTTGGAACACTCGCTAACCACAGTTCCTGCCAGAAGGGTCAGGGCTTCCTAAAGAGTCCCCACACATTCACGAGGCACACCAGACTCCCTGCCAAGGTGTCTGGCCACAGATGGGCTTTTCCTGAAACTTGAGAGTGGTGGCTCTTTGTCCCTATGGAGCTCTATCTTCTGTGATCATGCTCTTTGGTGCTGATGGTTTTTTGTTTGGTTGTCTTTTCCGAAACAGGGTTTCTCTGTGTATCCTTGGCTGCCCTGGAACTCACCCTGTAGATCAGGATGGCCTAGAACTCACAGAGATCCACCTGCCTCTGCCTCCCAAGTGCTGGGATTAAAGGTGTGCACCACCACCGCCCAGCTTGTTTGGTGCTGATTTTTGAAGAGTAGGCCAGGCTGGAGAGGTGGCTCGATGGTTAAAAATACTTGCTGCAGCTTGGCGGTGGTGGTGCATGCCTTTAATCCCAGCACTCGGGAGGCAGAGGCAGGCGGATCTCTGTGAGCTCGAGGCCGGGCTGGACCGACAGCCTCCAAAACAATACAGAGAAACCCTGTCTCATAAAAAACCAAAAAAAAAAAAAAAATACTTGCTGCTTTTAGAGAGGACCCAGATTACATTCCCTGGTGGCTCATAATTGCTTATAACTTCAGTCCAGAGCTAACTGGTGCCGCCTTTGGTCTCCTGCAGGTATACCAGACATGCATGTGCTGCACACACACACACACACACACACACACACACACACACACACAACTAGATATGCATGTGCTGTGCACACACACACATGGGTAGACACTCTCACATACATGTACACTCATACATATATGCACACATCTTTATGAGTCAGAAGCCATTCAGAAACGCGTTTTGAGTTTTGGCTCTTATAGACATCAAGGTAGGGAACCAGAAAAGAGCCTTTGGCCAGGCAAGAGGCAGCATAGATATCACCTCTCACAGAACTGTGCAACCAGGAGCTACTGCCTTTCGGGAAGCTTGAGGAGGCCAGGCCAAATCAGAAACAGCAGCACCTGTACTGGGATCATCCCAGACACACAGTGGAGAGGTGACTCAGGCGGTGTCTGGGTGACATATGATGAGGGCTTGTAGTACCGCAGAATTTACCAATGATAGGGTCCTTCAGGAAGAAAAGGCCCCAGGAAAGTCAGCAGCATGTCACATGCACCTAGCATTGCTGTGGGTAACATGATGGCAGGATGCGCAGTCAGTGTGACCCAGATTCCCTGCACAGCCCACCCACGGGGTCCTGTGGGACCATGCACCCTATAACGGTACACACAAGGGGCCACTCCGAGTTACATAGCTACCCAGAGATTCTTGGCTCTCTGCACAGTAGTCGAGAATCCTGACCCCAGCCTGACCTTGTGGTGCACCCCTAACAAGCACTCAGGAGAGGCTGAGGCAGGAAGGTTGTGAGTTTGAGGCTAGCCTGCACTGTGTAGCAAATCCCATGTCAGAAAAAGAAAAGGAGACTTCCTCCTTCCAGGAAGCCTCAGTCCCCGTAGCTTCCAGCTGGGCACAGGGACTGTCATCACGCCTCCTATCTTGGGGTCTTTGGTCCAGGTGGTGCTCTGGGTCGGCCTGGGCGTCCTGGTGGTCAGCACACTCACTACCCTGTCTGTGAGCGAAGAAGCCCCTCTGGACTTGGCACAGGAAGCAGCTCGAAGTGGCCGGAGAGATACCGAGGGCGGGATTAAAGCGGAGGCGGCCCGGCTGTCAGGTATATGCAAAGGCCCCATCCCACCTCCCCTGAACCTTCTTGGTGTGAGTGTCCACAGCGTCAACTCAGGGTCATGGTAGTGCTTTCTAGGAGACCCCTTATTTTCACTTCAAGGACTTTGCTTCCCGGTTGGTAGCCTCTGTCCTATGAGTGATGGAGATAGTGGAGGTTCTAGCCTTGGGCCCCACCAACTCCATGACACGAAGGCATGCCCTCTACATTGGAGGCTGGCAGCGTGCCGCCACCCGTGTGTGGGTGACGGGGGATGGCACAGTGCCAGCTTCGGCTCAGGCCTCCATACCTGGCCATTGCGGACACTAGAAGGTACGTAAATTTATGGGTGTTGCCCACATCTGTTTTTTTTTGTTGTTGTTGTTCAGTTTTGAGGATGTAAATTTGAGCCGGTGCCCCCCTTGACAAAACCAGCTAGGATATCTCAGCTTTGTTCTGTTGTTTCAGTTTTCACTCTTGGCATGACAAGTTTGTCACACACTGGCAGACTACCTCAGCAGAGTCTTGGTGGCACTCCAGCACCCCCATCTGTGGCCACACCACAGGGGGAACAGGATGTGTGTCTTTAGAGTGTCACTTTACGTGTGTGTCTGTTTGGGGTAGTTGATGTACCCCCAGGCCTTCCCAGGTATAGCTAGCTGGTAAGGGGAACACAGGGCCAGTTAGCCAGTGAGCTGAGACCCCATGCCTGCCTAGTGGCTGTAAGGTATGGCCATTGTGGTGGATGCTGTCCTGGATAACGGTAATCCTGGGCTTCTGTCTCTGGCAGTGTGGGGTGTCATACATTAGACTACAAGCCAGAGAGTTTGGGTCCAGATTTATGAAACATCTGTCTAACTCTGGCTCTTGGAAAGCAGGGGTAGGCAAAAGCCTCATCCTCCCTGGCAATTTTAGACTGTTATGTAGATGCTGGCCTACTACACATTGTCACCTATCCCTTGGTAGCTACCCCAAGATGCTCTCCTGGGCCTCCTTTTTCATTCAGCCCAGGGCTTGGAAGTAGCTGTGGGTGCTGTCTTTTATCTTCTTGGATTGGCGAAGGGAGAGAAGAGTTCTCCTGTCCCAGCTGCCAGGAATCACGAGGTCACTGGGGGATGCTGGTGGACGCTGGGTCCTCAGAGGATGAGGACGGGATGTTGAGAAGCTGCGGGGTGCTGTGTGTCATGTGGCAGTAGGTTTGGTGGTTTGGACTGGGAAGAAGTCTGCTTGAGGAAGGAGGTGCGCATCCACGCTCTCCCCAGCTAACGAGCCAGTCTGATGCCACGGCCCATGCCACCGGGCAGAGAACAGGTGTTGACGTGGGAACGGCAACAGGAAAAGGAAGGGGTGTGTGGTGGCCTGGTGTGGTTTCTTGCTGAGGGCAGCGAGCACATCATGGCCCTGTGTACCTTGAGGTCATCCAGGCAGAGCCCGGCGCAGTTCTGTCTCGCCGGGCCGGTAATGAGGTTGGTTCTCTCCAGTCCACACCAGGCCCCTGTGACTGCCGTGCTGTGCAGCCGCTCGTCAGAGCCCGCAGCTGCGTCCCATCTCCACAGCATGTACAGGCCGCCTGCTCACCTGTGCTCTCAGAGGCCACATCTGGTTTCCATTTCTTCGCGAGGCTATAACAACACACGTGGCTCCTCTCAGAACCACATGCCGTCTGTTTTTAGCTAGTTCTGTTTTCTAGCCACCCAACCTCTCGCCTAATTGAGGGCTTGCCTCATCTGGGCAGGGCTGGGGCTCAGGGCCTCCTCTGGCTGCCCTGTCAGCTGCACCGTCAGGGTATGAGAGCCTGTTTATTGGTCTCTTTAATGTGGGGCCACAGAATCTGCTTGCTCTGCTGGGAGCCTGGCGTGTGCGGTGACTCGTACCCTCACGCACGGCACATGCGACCATCAGGTGCAGCCCGGGCCCCATGCTTGGCCTTCTGAACCTTTGGTGGGCCTGGCTGAGTCCCTGTGAAAGCTCAAAAAGACAATTATCCATTTAAAAAGTCTAATTAGGCCAATCGTCTCTGTGCCCGATGGTTCTCTAGATGGTCTTGGGGACGGATTTGGGTTGTGTGTTGTTCCGGCTCCTTCTCTGAATACTGCTGCTGTGTTCTGTTGCTCCCTTCCTCCAGCTTACCTTGTGCACCATGGGGCAGCCCAGCTCAAGCCTGTGCCCCAGCCCCCTCCCGCCTGCAGCATGGAGGCAGCTGTGGGGAGCAGGGTTAGGGGTACATGCTGTGCAGCCATGGGGTTCTACGGGTGCAGGGCACAGGTGACTTGAGGAGCCTCCAGTGGGTAGACCTTCCCCCTGTCTTGTCTTCGCCCCCTCCCTGGGACCGTCATGGTTTCTGTTGCTGCCTTACCTTGGCCACTCTTCCCGCAGCAGCAACAGGCCCTAGCCACTTTGATAGTGTCCAGGAGAGACCCTGATGCTATATGCTCCTCCCCTCGGCTGACTCCTTGACAGGGGCTTCTGTCACCTCTCCCTTGTGCCTTGTGGAGGTTTTAAAGGTTCTCTGTGTCACGTGCTTCTTGCTCCTACTCTAACCTTGTTCAGTTTTTCTGCTGGTGTGCCGGGAGCTAGCAGTGTGCTCATTTCACGGGCTTCCCTGGGGAGAAGGTATTGGTGGGTTAGAGGGACTCCTCTCGTAGCTGCTGGCCGGTGTCAAGTCTGAGTGCACGGGGCTGTGGTGTGGCTCCAGAGGTGCAGCACTGACTCTCCCTGGTCACCCACCACACACACCGGCTTGAGGAGGACCCAAGAAAGAAGAGCAAGGGAGGCTTGCTTGCTGATGTCAAGGTTCCACTGTGCTGGTCGGGGCCAGCAGCCCAGCCCTCCAGCTCCCAGGAGGGGAAGGTGAGCTATGGAGCCCTTCAGCTAAGGCCAGACGATTGGGTTGTAAGTCAGACCTCAGCAAGTGACATTTTCCTCACTAAAACCTGGAGAACAAAGCAGAAGCTCCCTGGAGCAGGGTCTGGCTTTCAGAAAAGTGTTAGGCCATTTCTCTTCCTTCCTCCCTGGGGACAGCCCCTACGGGTGGGGCTGTTCGCTCCACCAGGGGCTCGTCCATAGGCCACGGTGTTTTAGCATCTGGGCTGGATGCCAGCATCCAGGGGCGAACATTCCCATCTCTGCCGACAAGAAGACATCCAGGGAGAGCAAGTGAGGCCGGTGGGCAGCAGGGCTGCCGTCCAGCTCCTAACTGTCCTGAGAGGTGGAAGCGGCCTCAAGCCCAGCAGTCAGGTGGACTGGAGGAGCTTGTCTCCAAGAGGGCTGGAGGACAAGGGATGGGTGGACGAGGGGAGGCCATACAGCCTATAGCAGGAGGCCGGCGTCTCACCGACTGAAGGAGGAAAGGACGCTCTTGAGGGAGCTGCCACCTGCTCTCTGTGAGGCGAGACTCCTATCTGACCCCTAGGGAAGAGCTGCAGCAGCCGAGCGTGCGGCCTGTCACCTCATTGGTCCATTCCTGTGTGTGGGAGAAGCCCAGGGCCTTGCCGGAATGTGACGGCAAGTAGCGACCGTAGGAAGCCCAAATATCGGTCTTTGCCATCAGCAGGTCAGGTGACTACAGGGAATAGAATGCGTGAGGGGTCTGGTGGCCAGGGTGTCGCCACCCCATTGAACACTGGGGCGCATCCTTGGAGTCACACCGGGCCTTTGCTTCTTAGCTGTCAGTTGCCTGTCGCCAGTGCACTGTCTTCACCCGTGGTCACCTTGAAGTTGGAAGCAGATCGCACGGGGGCTCTGATGGCTGCCAGCTTTGAGGGTTGATGTTTTGTTGTGGCCATGGCCGTTGTCAGTATCCACCCCTGGTGGAGGTCATGTCCACTGCTGGTGGGGCTTGGCTGCTGGTACTGCAGGCTAGAAGGCCTTCGAAGCCCCTGGCTGTCAGTCAGACAGGCATGGCCTCCCAGAGGAGCTTCAGGGCAGCTGCAGGTCATTCACACCCTGTGCTGCCTCGTGGAGCTTCCCCAGGACCCCAGACAGTGAGCAGCAGGGTGCCCCTCACCACTCAGGGTAGACCATGCTTTGGACAGGAGAGCTTCTGTTTCATTCTCCCCCTCGGCTTATGGGTGCATCTTACTTGTGCCAGGGGTTACCATGTGATGGAGACTGGTTCATTCCATCTGCCCGGGCCACTTGGTAGCACAGGGGAGCCCAGGCTGCTCCCTGAGAACCAGTGAGTTCCTTGCCCGTTGAGAAGGTGCGACTAGCTGGGTGGTGGCGGCGCACACCTTTAATCCCAGAACTTGGGGGGCAGAGGCAGGTTGGTCTTTGAGTTTGAGGCTAGCCTGGTCTACAGAGAAACTCTATCTTGAAAACAATAAAAAACCAGTCATCTCTTCTCAGAGGCCCAAAACAATCCCTGCCACTTTGACCTGGTGCTGGGAAAGACAAGGTGCCCTAGGGTCAGGAATCCAAGGGACTCTGCGTTTCTGTGTGTGTGGTGGGGGCGGGGGGAGTGTGCGTGTGCGTGTGTGTGCATAATGACCTGTCACAATAGCAGATGTGATAGGGTCACCTCCCTTGGAAGAGTACAATGAGGAAAGCCATCCTTGTTTAATCAGCCTTGTATGGCCAAACTGACATTTGAGTTTAGGGAGCAGAACAGAGAACTGTGTACAAGTGACCACATGTTTTCTGAGCTGGACATGCTAAACAACCCTGCTTTTCTTTGTTTTCCTAGACAGGGTCACTCTGTAGACCAGGCTGGCCTCGAACTCACAGAGATCCTCCTGCCTCTGCCTCCTGAGTGCTGGGATTAAAGGCGTGCACCACCACTGCCAGCGTGTTTTGTTTTTTGTAGCCCAGGCTGGCCTCAAACTCTGTGTAGCTGAGGATGGCCTTGAATTTATAATGTTCCTGAGTCCAACTCCAAAGTGCTAGGATGATGCTGTACCTGGTTTATGCCCTGCTGAGACAGAACCCTGACCAGGGCCTGTGCATGCTCCCAACTGAGCTAGATCCACAGCTCTCAAAGGTAGTCTTCTCCAGTTCTGTGGGCATGTGAAGGGCAGCTTTGGTAGCCTCTCTTTTTGTTCTCACCCTGTGGTGTGAATTTCCTTTACCAGCAGAAAGAGGTTGACAGGCCTTCCCAACCACATCCAGTGTACTCTTTTCTTCAAAGACCTCAGTCTAAACCTTAGGGCAAGCAGTTTGGTGCCTGCTGGGAGACACTAAGGACATTGCTTGGCTGTGTGCTCATACTGCCACCTGGTGGTTGTGGACAAGTATTGCATAGAGTGGCCATCTGCCTATAGTTATAAATTGAATTTTGACTTTTTTTTTATTATGAATGAAAAAAAAACTTTTCTTTGCTGCTTATCTGATAATAATGATTGAACGGGAGGAAACTCACCTCCACTCTGCCATTTGGCTTTGCTGTGTGGCCCTGACCTTAGGAGAATGGCCCAGCCTGTACTGGTTGCTGGCGGCTCACTGTGCTATGCTTGCAGTCCAGGATCCTGTCATGGTTGTTGCTGAGAATAGCCAGGAGAAGCCAAAGCCACCGGAGGACACAGAGGCACTGGAGCAGGCCCAGATCAAGGGTCCTGTAGAGGTGCCTGGAGGGGAGGCCCCTAAGGAGAAGCAAGAGGCCGCGCAGCTGGACCGCCCCGGTCAGGGTAAGCGGCTGGGTGGCACTGGCTGCCTGACGGAGAAAGGATCCTGCAGCGCTGTGCAGGAAGGGCTTGCGTGGCTCCCTCAGCCCAGACCCGTGCTCTGCCTTGCGCTCAGCCAAGGCAACTGTCCACTGCCCTTCCTCTCGCAGCATTAGCATTCCAGGAAGCTTGCCAGTCCTCAGATGGCTGTGGAGGGATCTGAGGCAGTGACCCATGTCAACACTGCTGGGAGCCAAGAGGCCAGTTCAGATTCCCTGGGAAGGTAAAGCGGGGCCTCTTTTCAGCCTGACCTTACGCTGTCCTTGTGTCCTTCCAGGCATTGCTGTCCCCGTGGGCGAGGCCCACCGCCATGAGCCTCCCGTTCCTCATGACAAAGTGGTGGTGGATGAAGGCCAAGACCAGGAAGGGCCAGAGGAGAAAAAGCCACCTCCCAGGCTCACAGCTGAAGGAGACCCTGGGGACAGGGGACAGGTGGCACCACCTGCACCCGAGTCAGAGAGGAAGCAGGAACCTGAGAGGGGGGAGGAAGGGAAGAGACCCGAGCAAGCCCTGGTTGTGAGGGAAGCTGAACATCCCCAGAAGGTTCCAGAAGCAAATGGCCAGCCACCTGTCCAGCCCAGGAAGGAAGAGTTGAGACCAGACAATGGAGATCTGCATCCGGTCCCCCAGTCCAGGCTCTCGGTGGCAGGTGATGGCAAAGAGGCTGCACAGGAGCCTGGAGGGGTCCAGGGGAAGCCGGTGGAAGTTGACCTGGAGAGCCACGAGGGTGAGTGTCAGCCTCCTGGGAGGCTTGGGGAAGCTCCTTTGCTCTCTCATTTCACGAGATTAGCATGTGAATGTGGCAGCCCCTTCCGCAGCTGGTGAGCAGAGAAGAGCCCGGTGGCTTGACAGCTTCTATAATATCTGTCACGCAGTTGTTTGCCAGACCTCTAAATGTCAGGTGCCATGCTGTTCTCGTGTGTCTGGGCGCTCACGGGGGGACAGTGCAGGAACGCTTGACAGGTAACACATTGTTAAGTGCCCGTCTAAGAGCCGGTTAGGACGGTGCGTGCATTTTAATTGGTGAAGGTAGTTAACATTGGCTCGCTGCCATCAGCCTGTGAGATTGTTAAATATTTTTTTTATTACTTCCCTGGTAATCATCAGGTTGAATATAAACTGTACTAGGGGGTGGCTAGCTATGGAGTCATTTTAGGAAACACCTGCCAGCCCCTCACCCCACCCCTGGCTTTTTGACTTTTCAACAAACCAGCTGAGAGTCTCCCTGTGTGCAGGTGGGAAGGCGGAGCTCCCTGCACAAAGGCCAGAGCCTGCAGAGGAGAGGGAGCCGAAGGAGGCTGAGAAACCAGGTGGAGACCAGGCGGGGAGCAAGCTGGAAGGTGAGGCTGCCGTCGCCCCTCAGAAGGAGCCCCGGAATGAGGTTGGCTGGGCTGGGTGCTCCCGGATCCCTCCTGCTCCACAATTTCTGGTCCTTGGCTTTTATGCCAAGGAAGCACCTTCAGCAACCCCGTGCTGTTTCCCATCGGTAGTTTCCCTCTGACACCTCTCGAGGGACGTTTTTATCTCCCCTTTTTCCCCTTAAAAAAAAGTGTCACATAGTTACATGGCTTTTACTTACCATTCTTATTTCATCTTAAAGCATGTATGCTGCTGTTTCCCCTACTCAGGGTGTGCAAAGCCAGCTAGGAGTGTGGCCTTAGGACACCAGTGTGAAGACTCACCCGAAAGCTGTGCCTTAGTGGTCAGCAGCACGCCCTGTGTCCTTGTCACACCCAAAGTCCAGGCCCACGCTGGCATTTGAAGTTTGCTATGGCTGGCTTGCCCCGAGTTCTCTAAACTTTCATGTCCGTTTTGACTTTCTGTGGTGGATCCAGTGGTATCTGTGTATGGAGAAGGTGGTGGTGGCCCTCCCAGGAGCCCTCCAGTGACCACTCACTTGGGTGTTTTGGTGAATCTCCATGTCAAGACAAAGCCCACCTGAAGTGTGACCCCTGGTCTGGTGTAAGGAGCAGGCAGTGGGCTGCTTGGCTCTTCTGGGCCAAACTCCCAGGACTGCCTAGGACATGTCTGAACCAGGCCTGCCTTGCATGTTTATACCCCACCTCTAAGTGGGTGTGGAAAGATCCAGGGTTTGCTTCTCACTCAGCTCTGAAGGCCAGACTTAAGTAGCTGCCCGGCAACTGAGCTGAGATGGGGCTGCTCCAGGCTGACCGTCTCAGTGCAGGCCTGCAAGGCAGAGCTCAGAGGTCCCTTCTGCTTCGCTGGCGCTTACAGATTGCTGGGGAGACTCCCCGCACTTGCTGTTCCTCTCTGGTTTTAGTCTGACTACATTTGTTGGTTCCACTTTCTGTGATCTGTCACTTAAACATGTCTGACTCTTTTGTTTTTTCTTTCTGAAGAAGAGACTTTTCATTATTCCCTATTGTGCCTCTCTTCCAAATGCCTCTCAATGGGATGGACAGCTGAGATTAAAAAACTAGTAGCAGGTATGGCTCAGGACTGTGTTGCAAGAGAAGCATGTGTGTGGAGGCCCCGACAGTGTGGGAACGGCTCCCTGGTGGCACACTCCACCTGTGAGGGCCCTGCATGAATACGTGTCAGTCCCGAGGAGTGCACCCCTCCAGATGCAGCAGAACCCCAGGCGGCATCTGTGGCCCTCCAGACCCCTCTTCCTTTCAACTGTAGTTCTCCTCGGCCCCTGTGGCCTTGTCCTCAGAGGACAGCCGAATGGTGTCCATAAGTAACTTAAGGTAACACCTGAGCTAGGGACAGGGTTGGGGCTGCATGTACCTGCTGATGCTGTGTGTGGCTTGCGTCCATTTATCCCACTGTGTCTGGTGTGGGGGTTTCCATCCCATCTGTACACCTGGTCCTGGTCGGTTCTGGCTGGGAAAAGCCAGTCACCGTGCTGTCTCCCTTTTGCCACGTGGGACTTTAGCAGGACATGACACCTTTCTTTCTCTCCCAGAACCAGTCAGCTAGTCTGCTGAGGAACACGTGAAACACGGGGCCTGCTATCTCAGAACCTTGCTTTTAGCGGCTGGGAAGTGCCAGCAATGTGTATAACTTTGTCTTTATACAGCTGGTAGATATGTGATCATACAGTCAGGGTGAGGCGTGGCCTGTTGGGGAGAGTGCTTGAGCTTTTCCGTGCCAAGGGAAAAGAAAGAGCCCTGTGTTGTGGAGCCTTTCCTCCCAAGCCAGTGTCTGAACCTTCGGCATCGGCAAGAGGGACCGCTGTCTCCCTTTAGGTCGACTCTGTTCTCTTCATAGTGGGCCCCAGTGTCCTCTCCACTGTCCAGCTTGCCCTTCTCTCCTTGCGTTGGCTCCTGAGGAGGCCCTAGGGTGTGTTAAGGGGATTCATCACTGCCCCTGGAAGGACACTGACTGTGAACTTCCTCAGCTAGCTGCTGGTGTGGAGCCTGTGCGCGTGCCCTGCATCTGGGAGCTATGTAGCCCTGGCTGCCCTCTAACTCACAGAGATCCGCTTGTCTATATCTTTTGTGTGCTAGGTCAAAGGTGTGTTCCATCCCCTACACAAGACGGTTTCTATGCTGTGACACCCGGTCCTTCACCCATCATCTTCTAAAGATGTCTAATTTAACAATGTAGGGCTGAAACAGTGAACTTGCCTTGGCTGCTTGCTGTGGATAACTGGCCCAGTGCTGAAGTGCTTGTAGTCAAAGCCAGCAGCACCAGCTGCACGTGTGGGTGAGACTGGGCCGTACCCTACCAGTGTCACCTGGATGGGAAACATCAAATTTGCATAGGAAGGCCTTCATCTTCCCTGTGCTGGTCTGTGGCTTGTCCCTCTTTACCGCCTACCCCTGTCGATGAGATGGAGCTCTCTTCCTTCCTGCGACAGGTTCTCACGTCCACTTGAAGACTTCTTTTGTTTTTAAGATTCTCTTCATCTTGGAAGAAATTTTCCTAAAATATTTAAACTTTAGCCAGGCAGTGGTGGCGCACACCTTTTAATCCCAGCACTCAGGAGGTAGAGGTAGGTGGGTCTCTGTGAGTTGGAGACCAGCCTGCTCTACAAGAGCTAGTTCCAGGACATTAAAACTTTTTTTTTAAAGGTTTTAGGTTTTATTTTCTCTTGTGTTAGCCCTAGAACAACTATGTGAGGTAGTAGGGGAGAATCACCCAGCTTAGTGAACCTCTAACTTTCTGGTACATTCCTTTAATTTTTGTCTGCACGTGCACTTTCAGCCACCACAGACAGGGAACTTGGATCTGCCATTGTGTCTGAACACTGAGGGCGAGAGTAAAAGCAGGCAGCGCTGTTGCTGGCCAGGAAGGCTGCCTGGAGGCTCATCCTGGCGAGGGCTTATCCCGCTCGCTGTGGCTCAGTCCGTGCCTCCCTGCCGTGCCAGTGGGAGGGGTGACACAGGGAGCAGGGTCGCTGATACAGGCGTGGCAGGGCCAGTTCCCCCGGGGGTCACTCTGCATTGCAAGGCCGCCCTCTGTGGAGGGCACCTGACTGTGTGTGTCGCCGCCAGAAGCCGGGAGGGCAGAGATGCTGGACCACGCAGTGCTGCTGCAGGTGATCAAAGAGCAGCAGGTGCAGCAGAAGCGCCTCCTGGACCAGCAGGAGAAGCTGCTGGCCGTGATCGAGGAGCAGCACAAGGAGATCCGGCAGCAGCGGCAGGACGGCGAGGACGACAAGGCTAAGCCAGGTAGGGCGAGCCCCGGGGGCCTGGGGCTAGATCTCAGACTTGGTGGCCAGAAGCGTGGGGGGAATTTATGTCTTTTATTATGTACGTATGTGTAGGCTAGGAGAGGATTCAGATCCCCTAGATCTGGAGTTATAGACCACTGGGAACGTAGCGCTGGTCTTTAGCAAGAACAGCAAGCTTACTTTTGTTTTTCAAGACAAGATTTTCCTGTGTAGCTTTGGAGGCTGTCCTGGAACTTACTCAGTAGACCAAAAGAGATCCGCCTGCCTCTGCCTCCCGAGTGCTGGGATAAAGGCGTGCGCCACCACTGCTGGCCATTAAAGCACTCTTCACTGCAAAGCCATCTCTCCAACTCTTAGTGATTCTTCACTGCTTGAAAGTTTCTTTTCAGTCAGTGCATCAGAAGCTTGTGTTCATAATTCTCTGGCCAAACTGATGTCCACCTTCATTTGCAGCAGACGTGCAGCCAGAGCCTGGGATGGCCGTACTCAAAGGACAGGAGGAGGCGGCCCGGGATGAGCATGCCGGGGAGACAGTAGAAGGTGGCCCTCCACAGCCTGTGCAGCCTGGGCCTGGAGCTCCTAGGGGTCGCCCTGCTCCACCCCAAGAGATGGGCCAGCAACCCCTGGAGGAAGCCAAGGCAGAGCCAGGCAGAGACCTTGCTGACCCTCCTGCCGGTGGCTCTGACACAGGGCCCCAAGGGGCCCAGACTAAACTGGGAGAGGACCAGAAGGGCGCTGCACTCAAGGTGGCTGCAGCTATGAGGGACCTGGTCCCCAGGGACTTGGAACCAGCACCCAAGCCAGACTCTGCTGGGGCACCACCCAAGAGTCCAGAGAAGCAGTTTGCAGAGGAAGGCGCCAGGCAGCACCTAGATGCCTTTGGTGGAGGCTCCCAAGAAAGGAAGGAAACTGCAAAGGAAGCAATGGCCATTGGTGCCGCTATTCCAAAGGAGCCTGCCCAGTCCTTGGCAGGGGCAGAGGCTGAGGACTCTCGCACGAAGTCCAGGCAATCAGGACCCACCATGGTCCCGGCTAGGCCAGCAGATACAGGCTTCCAGCCCCAGGCCAGGTTTCAGCCAGAGCCCCAGATCATCCCTGACAAAGGTCAGGATTCTCCCCCAGAGGTAAGAAGTGAGGACCCCCGAGGGGTTCGCATACCTCCTGAGGAGCAGCACAGAGGAAATGGGGGTGCTGCCATCGAGGAGCCCGAGAAGAGGCCAGATCCTGATTCTGGGCCGAGACTAGCTGTGCCTGGGGCTCAGAAGCAAGAGAATGCCAAACCCAACCGAGACCTGAAAGTGCAGGCTGGCTCTGACCTGCGGAGGAGACGGCGGGATCTGGCCTCTCCTCCAGAGCAGGAGCTGGCTCCGAAGGACGGAGTCATCATCAACTTTAACTCCCTGCCTAATGTACAGGTGAATGATCTCCGCAGTGCCCTGGACGCCCAGCTCCGTCAGGCTGCGGGGGCTGCGGTACAGGTGGTGCACAGTCGGCAAATTAGACAGTTGCCTGGATATCTAGAGGAAGCGTGAGAGCCAGACATTGAACAGCAGCTGGTGTTCCCTAGCGACACCCTGATTGGAGGCCACGCTCTTACGTCCCCAGGGGTTGGCATCTAAGCCCCTCATGATGAGCTGGGAGCGTGTAGCCCCAGACATCTTGTCACTCTGTGGTATCACTTGCCGCAAGGCTTTGCCAAGGCACCCACTGGCCCAAGTGTGGTTTGGGCCTTGAGCCAGCCCAGGAAAGGCAGTGCTGGGGTTGGACTCCGCTGCTCTGTGGCAGCGCTTGTCTGTCCAGCACCGACAGAGACAGCAGGGCACAGTCCTCATCTAACCCGCAGCCTGCCACAGCCGGATTCCACGCTGACTTGATTGTCCCATGTTCTCCATGTGTGGCAGACCTGCAGTAGGCATCTGTGTCCCCATCCCGTCCCGTCACCCCATCAGGCCCCGGGTTGGGTATGTCTTGACTTGGGTTGGGGAAGGAGGTACATGATCCTCCTGGTTTCCCGTCATCCACATTCTTTGAAATTGATTATGAAACACAAAATAAAACACCACTAACATTTGATGAGTCAAGTTGGTTTGCCTAAGGAAAACCTATTCAGGAACCTGGATGGTACCAAACAGATCATGGGGTACCTTCCCCAGCCATCATCACTGGACTCAGGTGGATGAGTACAGTTGGGGGCCCCACAGGGAGGAGGTTGAGCAAGGACAGGCTGGTCACCAGGGCAAGCCTTGGGGTCATGTGCTGCATGGCCTTAAGCTCAGAGGGCAGGGCTGTGTTTCCCAAGTCAGCAGGAACACACAATTGGGTTGTCCTTGAAGAGATGGTGTCTTGCTTTGTCATTCCCTTGCCGGGTTAGGCACTTTTGAGATGGAGGGACAAGAACCTGGTTTGTCCCCAAGCCCTGCCATGAAGAGCTTGGAAGGTCCAGGAGTGCCAATGGATCATATGTGAACCAGGCCACACCCCGCTGTGTGCTGTCTCTGCACTTCTTGAAATATATCTTATTAACGTTTTTTAAAATTTAGATTTATTCATGTGTACAGGTGTTTTGTTCACCCATCTCTGTATCAGAGGCATGCAGTGCCCTTGGAGGTCCGAAGAGGGCATCAGATACCAGGTACAGGAGTTACAAATGGCTTTGAGCTGCCCTATGGTTTCTGGGAATCAAACCTGGATCCTCTGTGACAATAAGGACCCTTAGACACTGAGCCATCTCTCAGGCCCTCATTACAGTTTTTAAAGATGTCTTTGGACAGCTTGGAAAACTAGAAAATGACAGCAGCGGAAACTTCCACGGGCCCTTGTGAATGTGCTGGGCAGGGGTGTGCCAGCGACAGGCAGGTCTCCGTTTCCTGTCTGTCTGACTAAAACCAGCTCCAAATAAGCTATTTGGTGGTTACATGCCATCGGGCCATCCTCTTGGATTGGAACTCTTGTCACCTTGCTGGGACTGGAGTTCTCACACAGCTTGTCATTTTTGAAAATCCCCGTGATTCGGCGTTTGTGGTCTGCTGAGAGTCTGTTGTGGAGCAGGCGGGGCTGCCTCTGCCCTAGTTCTTTCTCCTAGCTGCCTCTAAGCAGCCTTCAGCAGGGGACCTGTTCCTGTACACGTGCTGGGACATCAGGGAGCCACCTGCCAATTCAGCTGCTGGCCTATAGCAGGCGTCTGGTCACCTGGTGCAGGATACTGGGATGTGGTGCCCACCCAGGATGGTTCTGCTGCAGACCAGGCATGCTCCGTAGCAGTGCTACCAGGCCAGGATGCATGCTTGTCTCCAGGATAACAGCAGGGCAGAAACAGAAGCTTAAGTCCTCAAGGGAACAGCAGACAGCTGAGAAGTGGCGGTGCACACCTTCAATCCCAGCACTCCGGAAGGCAGAGGCAAGCGGATCTCTTGAGTTCAAGGTCACCCTGGTCTGCATAGTGAGAGCCAGGGCTACACAGAAAACAACAAAGAGGAACAATAGATCTCATCGGAGACCAAGATAATTTGCTGTGGTTCCATGTGGCCCCTCTAAACTTCATGGGTTCCAAGTAAGAGTACCAGGAAGAAGGTTTTGTTTTTGCTTTTTTTTTTTTTTTCGAGACAGGGTTTCTCTGTGGCTTTGGAGGCTGTCCTGGAACTAGCTCTTGTAGACCAGGCTGGTCTCGAACTCACAGAGATCTGCCTGGTTCTGCCTCCTGAGTGCTGGGATTAAGGGCGAGCACCACCAACGCCTGGCCCAGTACTTAGGATACAAAGGCAGTGCCCTCGCTGGGGCAGCCTTTGTGCTGTGCTCTTGCCCCTTGAAGACTCAGCAGGAAGGTCCCAGACCTTTGGGCCTGGAGGCTGTGAGGAATGCATTTCCATTCTTTGTAATTCCTCGGTTCAGTTTTCGACCATTACAGCCCAAGCAGACTGACAACACGATTAAGCAGGCAGTGCTGTGCGGCTGACACAGCTGCAGAAACTTCCTGCTGTAGCCAGTGAATGCATTCCCGAGACAGTCTGGAGGCCTGAGGATAGTACAGGTGCAAAGGCCCAAGGTGCCTGCACAGCTGTGGCCTGAGTACCTGAAACAACTTGATTTATTTGCTCAGTCTCACTTCTGTGATGCTTGGCCCGTGTGACCAGTCAGGACATCAGAGCACATGAGCATATGGTAGAGGTTTCCCATATCCTGTCGGACAGGAACTGGGGATCAGGCACAACCTACTAAAGCATGATGGCCTACTTCCTGAAGTTTCTAGAACCTCCCAAAGTAGAACCACTAGCGGGGACCAAGACTTCACTGACATAGTCCATGGGAACAGGGTTCGTGTGTAGGAATCTAATATTCAAACCATGACAGCGTGGAAGGAGTGGGCCCTGCAGGCCTGACTGCTGAGTCTGCAGGCCTGGGCCATGGGAAGCGCTGGATGTCTGCCAGCTCAGGGGAGGATGCAGAGGCAGCGAGAGACATTTGCCAGGCAAGCTCGAGGGGCCCGAACTCAGTGAGGCCTAAAGTTGGCAGTCATCAGGAGGAAGAAGCTATAGTCCGAGTGCCAAGAGGGCTTCAGATGCTGTGGCAGGCTGGGTGGACTGTCCAGAGCCACGCCATCAGGTCCTGGAGACCCGGCATCACTGTCCATTGGGACAGACTCTAGCTGACCTGGCTCTCTGCAACAGCCAGAAGTCATGTCTTGAGGTGGCCTAGATATCTATCGCACAGGTTTCCTGGAGGCTGGAGCGACGGCTCAGCAGTTAAAAGCACTTGTTGCTCTTGCAGAGGACCCAGGTTCGATGTCCAGCATCTGCATACAGCTCACAACCATCTCTAACTCCAGTTCCCGGGGATCCAACACCTTTTTTGGGCCTCCCTGGCCACCAGGCAAGTCCACATTGCACATACATCCATCTAAAACACCCAAATTTTAAACAAACAAGAAAACATGGGTTTTCTCACCCTGGTAATAAGCCAGCTAAGTCCAGAGTAGCAGTTAAGATGCCACAGGGTGGCAGATTTTGGCATAAAGTGTAGGGCATGACGGCCTCTGGCCCCGTTCCCAGTACCAAGAATCTGAGACAGGTGCAAACTGTTTCAAGGACAGCATGACCTCCACACGTGGGACTGCGCAGTTCCCATGGTTTCCAGCAGGTGGCACTCACACACATGGAATCCCTTGCTGTCTTTTTAAACTCAGCAAGTGAAGGAGGGAAAGGAAATCCAAGACAGACTGTGGTGATGGCTGTCCCCTCATTGGAAGCCCCGAGCAGAATTTCCTTGTTGGCTTTTGTCCAGAAAAGCCTCTGCCCAGTTCCTGGACAGCCGTCTATCCGCACTTCTTATACAGGGCTCCCTGCCCTGGTGCCGTTGCTGTGTTATTTATTATTGGTGTGTTTTCTCACAAGCATCTGGTGTGCTAGACTTAGACTAAACACTCTTTGATGAGAACAGTAGCGTTTTTGTTTTTAAGCTTTAATTTTAGCTGGGTGGTGGTGGTGCACACCTTTCATCCCAGCACTCGGGAGGCAGAGGCAGGCGGATCTCTGTGAGTTCGAGGCCAGCCTGGTCTACACAGTGAGCTCTAGGACAGCCATTACCGCCACATAAAGAAACCCTGTCTCGGAAAGAAATTATTTAATTTTTCCCGTATTCATGTCTGTTGACCAGCGTGTGCCTGGTTCCTGGAGGCCAGAGGAGGTGTTGGACACCCTGGAACTGGAGTTAGAGATGGTTGAGAGCCGCATGCGGATGCTGGCAGCTGAGCCTGGGTCCTCTGGAAAAGCAGCGAATGGTCTCGCCTGTGGAAGCATCTCTCTAGCTCTTGGTGAGAACAGTTTTAAATGGGGACCCTTTGTGGAGTTCTGTGGTCCAGACCTGCTACCTGCTTTGTGTGTGTGTGTGTGTGTGTGTGTGTGTGTGTGTGTGTGTGTGTGTGTGTGTGCGTGCGCGCACGTGCGTGCAGGTGTGCTCTGGACACACTGTCCTTGGGAGAGACCAGTTCCTTACACCATGCTCTATGTATAAACACCTGACACCGAGCAGGATTAAATAACCTTCATTGCTGTTTCTGTTACATCTTAATCGACTCCAGATACACACACACACACACACACACACACACACACACTGCTGGTAAACACACCCTGCCCTGCCCAGGGTTCAAGCTGAAGAAACAAACACTCCACCACCCACACCTCCTTTCAGTGCCCGGAGCGCTCGGCGTGTGCCGTACCGCAGCTGTGCCCACAGCTGTCCTAGGTGCTGCCCATCAGGGCCTTCTTGGCCTGGAAGAGAAAGCACGTATTTCCAAGTTAGATATGGCTTAAAAGCAAGACACCGACACATCAAATGCCACATTCTTCCAACACCCTAAAGAACCGCGGGCTGCGGTGTGTGTGGAGGCTCCTGACCGAGCTCACCTAACAGATGCAGCCTGGACCCTGTGACAGAGCCGAGGGTCCGCTAGGGGCTGGGCAGGGGTGGATGAGGAATCGCAGTGGAATTCCTCCACCCGGCTCAGGAGGAGGAGCAGAAGGAGAGGGACCCAGCAGCTTGCCAGCCACACATCTCTGGTCAACCACGGAAAGGGTAGCAGAAGGGACAAGAAAAGTACCCCTGATGACTGAACCAGTCACTGGCTGCTAGGTAAGGCTGGGCTGTAGTAAACTCGGGGAGTTTGGTCCAAGGGGGCCCGGCTGGACCCTCCCACGCCATCACACAGGAAGCTCCGCGAGAAGGCACGCGGGGGCCGGGGTCGGTCGGGTCAGGCGCCCGCTACCCTTTCCCTGGCCCGTGCCTCTCCCTAAAGCACCGGGAAGGAAAAAGCCAAGCGGGGCGGCGCTCCCTCCTTACCGCGGCGGCGAAGCAGCTCCTCAGGGCCTCGAACTCGCGCACGCAAAGGTCCTTGCTCAGGCGGCCTCCGGGGGCGGTGGAGGCCTGCACGCACTTGCCGTACGCCGAAGCCTAAGGGAAGACCCCGCCGGTCAGTGCGGCCTAACCAGCCGCCGCCGCCCTCCCCGCTCCCGGCTACCCTGCAGGTCCGGCTCCGCCCGCTCCCTACCTCAGCCCCGCAGGCCGCCAGATGGTCCGGGAAGGCTCGGAGACGGCTCCGCACGCGCCCCCATACGGCTCCGTTGGTGGACATTAGCGCTTCTCCCAGACCCCCGAGGGCGCTGCCATATTAGGTCCGGCCTCTTCCGGCGCCGATAGACGCGAACATCCGGCCCTTCCGCCCGTACTGTCTCCTGGTTGGTCAGCGTCGCCTGCCTGCTCCTCTGAAACTGGTCCTCGTTCTTGTCCGTCTCTAGCTGGGACTTTGGATTGGCTGGGGGCGTCCCATGTTTTTCGGATGCAGCCTGCCCCCTTCCTGCGGACGATTGGCTGGGGGAAGCCAGAGCCGCGCGATGATTGGAGGGGCGAAGCCTGGCGGAAGCGGGGCAGGCGGAGGGGCTCCTCGGACCATGGCGGCCGCGCCGCCGCTACGGGACCGCTTGAGCTTCCTACACAGGGTGAGTGAAGCTCGCAGGGTCGGCTGACACCCGGCGCCCCGGGGATCTGGCTCTATTAGCGGGGACAGGCTGCCGGCGGCTGCTGGGAGCGAGCGGGCGAGCTTGCTCTACTAGTAGGAGGGTGAGCCCAAGGGCGGCGGGCGATCTCCAGCGGGGCCCGACTCCCCAGGCTTCGTTTCGGGGAAAGATCCTGGAAACTCGAACATCTCAAGGGGACAGGAGGCATCTGGAAGGCCATGGCTACCGGGTGGAGAGGGCGGAGCCTGTTGCCAGCTGTTGAGCGCCCTACGGTTTCTGATTGCGGCTTGAGGGTACCGAGTGGCCCTAGGGACCCATCTTAGGTTTTTAAGAGTCATGCTACAGGTCAGATCTCTAAGGCTGGGGCAAGTTCTTACGTACTAAACTCTGCAGATCCCTTTCTCCAGACCCCCGTCAAGGCACTGTGGACAGCACGGTGAGGCTGTGTGGAGCCCTAGCAGTGTCTGCAGACTTGTCTTAAATATTCCTAAGCCCCACCCGCCCTTTTGCCTGGATACCGAGTGATGAGAAATAGGTGTTTCTAGATTTCAACCAAATAAACACTATACCCTTGCAGTAACAGGCAAGCCGGTAACATAGGCAAAATTCAAGTTAGCCATTCTTGAGCCATGAAACCCTCCAAGCCGAGCAGTTCCGACTCGTTGGGGGTCTGGCACCGCGCCCATCCAATACATGGAAAGCCCTGAGGTTGCTTGATAAATGGGTGTGTTTAAAATATCTTTACACTTACTAATGTAAGAGGCTGGGGCTGAACCTCATCTTGACCTTCTTAGAGAGTAGTCCTCATTGATTTTCCTCTTTCCTGGGGCACCACTGGCTCCTGCCAGAGCAGAGCCTGTTTAAATCTGTGCTTTGTGGCTGCTAGGTGGCTCTGGTCCCTCCTAGGCATTCTCCTGGGCGGGTTTTGTTTGTTTGTTTTTGTTTTTAGCACCAGTGAGCTCGAGGGTTGCTTCTGTTTCGTTTGGTGGTGGGGGAACCTACCCTTTGTAAGATGGAAGCTCACCGTGACCCTCATTCCTCTTCAGCTTCCCATCCTCTTGAAGGGGACCTCAGACGATGACATCCCATGTCCAGGCTACCTGTTTGAAGAGATTGCCAGTATCCTTCTGCACCGTCCCCATTGGTGGGGGGAAGGGTAAACAGTGGGAAGTCTTCTGCCACCCCAGGGGCACAAACAACGTCTTTTTCCCAGTATCCAGATGTGTTTGTGCACTGAAGCTGTAAATCCAGTGTCATAGAGCCCAGGACACCCTAAGAGTCCCAGGGTTGGTGAAACCAAAGCCCGTGGTACTGATCCTCAGGGAGTGTGGCCTGAGGAAGGGTCATGGTCGCAGGAGGGCAAGTTTGTCTAGCCAGTGGGTCCCTGTGTCTGCCCTGCTCCTTCCCTAACCCAAATGACTCTTCAGAAATTTCCCATGAGTCGCTGGGCAGCAGCCAGTGCCTGCTGGAGTACCTGCTGAACCGTCTGGACAGCAGCTCCGGACACGTGAAGCTCAAGGTGTGTCCCTGAGTGGCTGAGGGGCAGGCAGCAGACCAGGCACTCAGCGGTGCCAAGTGTCCTGTACCACAGCCACCAGCCCCCACGAACCTGTCCACTCTCCAGGTGCTGAAGATCTTGCTTTACCTGTGTGGTCATGGCTCTCCCTCCTTCCTGCTTACCCTCAGACGAAACTCTGCTCTCATCCAGGAAGCCACAGGTATATAGGAAGACGCAGGCGTGTCCAGGGCAAGTGGGCTTGGGGTCCTGACGGGATGGGGCTTAGGAACGGAAATGCGTCCGTGCTGGAGGTGCCCACTAAGGATTCTCTGGGGGAGTGGTCCTGGAAGGACGAGGCAGAATGGGCATGTGCGGGGGTGCTGTGGTATTTCCCTGTACGTGCGAGGCCCCGAGCCAGGAAAAGCTTGGGGGTGGCTTAATATATAAGAGAACCTGATTTTCCATGATGGAAGCTTTTTAGCAGAGGGGACCAGCCTAGGATCATACCTGAAAGACCCTGATAGAGACCTGAGGTCTAAACCTCTAGAAGGTTCCTGTTGCAGGTAGGTGAAAGAGAATAGTCCCAAGGAAGCAGTTAGACATAACTCCAGTGTGGGTGGGGGGAGGTGGGGTGGTCTCTGGCAGACACAGTGGCTACCGTGGAGGTAGATGGTGGGCTTGCTACCGTGAGTGGTCAAGAGGGGATGTTATAGGGTCCCCAGGAGGGGGTGGGGGCCGTACTCTTCCAGAGGGCTCATAGGCAGTGACCGGGCTCAGTCCGACCCATCTGACTTTTGCCCTGCAGCCTTCGCAGGCCCCCCCGACCCTCTTCATGGGAACAGCTTGTACCAGAAGGTTCGAGCTGCTGCCCAGGTGAGTCTGGGTCAGGGTCAGAGCGTAGAGCAGAGAGTGGCAGAATGTCCGAGAAGTGTTCTCCTGTCACACAGGACCCAGCTCTGTCCTCCTTGCTGGGCCACAGCCCTGGGGAGGGGCGTCTAAAACAGAGCAGAGCCGGTGGGGATGGGCAGAGCAGCTGGCTCTGGAGGGACCCTGAGCACCCACTTCTTCATTCAGGACCTGGGTAGCACCTTGTTCTCAGACGCTGTGCCACCGCCTCCCTCCCAGCCACCCCAGGCCCTGCCTCCAGCAGGTAATGCCACTTCAGTGACCACCCCCAGGCACCGAGGCTGTCCCTCTTGGTGTCCCTGATGTCTCTGTACCTGTGAGCTGGTCTGGAGGGAGGACCACACTGATGCCAGTGCCCCCCTTTCAGGCATGGGCGCCCAGGCCAGACCTCATGGTGCTCTCCAGGGCTTTGGCTACACCAAGCAGTGGGGCCGGACAGGTAAGGTACAGACAGGGCTCCTGGGTCGGGATATGAAGGGATCGGGGTCAGGCCCCACTGGCGTCTCACTAGCCATCCCCCAACTGTACCTCACGTGGACGGACGCCTTCCTCCCCGGTGTGCTCCCCTGTGTTGTCTCCTCTGCCCAGCTGGAAGGAAGGTGTGACAGGAGTGGCCAGCTCTGCTTGATGGACAGGGAGGAGGAGGCAGACTCAAGTCCAGCTGCTTGAGTGTCCAGGACGCAGGCTGTGACAGGAACACAGAGGGTCACCTTTACAGGTTGTGACAGTGTAGTGATGTGGGTACCTGTGCCATCAGAAGTTTAAGTTTGCTTGTTGAACGCCTGCCTGCACAGCGGCGCATAACGGGGCGAGCACCCTCAGCTGTCCTCGGGGCTGGATACTCGGCTGTGTGCTGCTCCTGCTGCAAACAGGCCTTTGTCAGCTCAGGGGCCTCTGCCTGATGCCTTGACTTGGAAGCTCCTTCTTCAAAGGCAAGGGTGGGGCCCTGACACCTGAGTGGACGACCAAGGACATTGTCACTTGTCACAACCCCCTAAAACACCCCTTGTCCTCAGCTGCTGTAAGCTAAGTGTCCAGACCACAATGCCCGGGATTTACAGTAGCAGCTCTGCTACCTGCAACAGTGTCTTTACCTCCCTGGATCTGAGCGGGCAGCAGCCTTGGTCCCATCCTGGAGAGTGTGGCTGGAGGTAGGGGACGTGGGCTAGGATGCTGGCACCACCTCTTCTACTGATGCCACCTCTCCTGTGTCCAGGTTCTGCAGGCGAATCCTTCCTCTCTACGATCCAGAAGGCTGCAGAGGTAGTGGCTAATGCTGTGCGTCCTGGGCCTGAGAATGCCAGTGCCCAGGGACTCTTGCCACGTGGTGACACCTACCAGCCTGCGGTGACGCCTCCATCGAGCCACACACTCCCCAACCCTGGGAATCTAGTCCTCGGGGCCCGAGGTATGGAGGCCAGGGCTGCCACTCTTGCGGATCTGGGCCATTCCTTCATATCAAGTGTTGGGGCAGGGAAGGGGACACTTTATGGATTTGGAGACAAATGTTGACGCCGCCCTGACTGGCAGGAGCTCCAGGCTTCTAGACCCGGCAGGAAGCATGTGCCCGTGTTGTGTGTCTGGGGTTTGTGGAGCTGCCCTGTAAGCTCAGAACTCAGCCTCTTGTCTCCTAGCCCTGAGTCCCTAAGGGGCTGTCGTGAGGCCCATGGAAAGCCCTATGTCCCTGCCTGCTATTCTGTCTTCCAGCTGTGAGACACCAGCCGGGGCAGGCTGGAGGAGGCTGGGACGAGCTGGACAGTGGTCCTAGTTCCCAGAATTCCTCCTGCACCAGCAACCTGAGCAGGGCCTCGGACTCGGGCAGTCGGTCTGGCAGCGACAGCCACTCTGGAGCCAGCCGTGAGCCAGGCGACCCGACAGAAAGGTGTGTGGATGGGTGGCCACCTGTTCCGGTCAGGGTTCCTATTGCTGGGAAGAGACACCGTGACCACGGCAGATCTCATAAATGAAAACATTTAGCTGGGGTGACTCACAGTTCAGAGTTCCAGTCCCTTATCATGGCGGGACATGACAGCGTGCGGGCAGACGTGGCGCTGGAGAGGTATCTGAGAGTCCTACATCTTGCAGGCAGCAGGAAGGGGTCTGAAACACTGGGTGGAAACTTGAGTATATGTGAGAACTCCAAACCACACTGACACGTTTCCTTCAGCAAGACCACACCGAATAATTCCTCTTCCTTTGGGGACCTTTTTCTTTCAAACCACCACACCACCTCTCCCACGGGGACTGTCAACACCCTCTGACCTCCAGGCCTTACCCTTCTCCAGTGTGGGAGCTTACAGGGTGTTGTCCCACCCATCTACCCGAGACCTTGACATCCTGACTTGGCCGTATCATTTTTGCTTTTTCCAGGGCTGAGGCCATGGCCCCAAATGACTGCCAGCAAGAGCTGAGCCTAGTGAGAACCGTAACACAGGGGTCACGCGTCTTCCTGAGCCGGGAGGAGACCCAGCACTTCATCAAAGAGTGAGTCACCCACCCGCGCCTGCCCCCCCCCCCCCGGAGGCGGGAACCGGCTGTGGCTGCCCCCAATCCCTCACCTGTGTCCCCTCCCTGTGCAGGTGTGGGCTGCTCAACTGTGAGGCTGTGCTGGAGCTGCTCCTCCAGCAGCTGGTCGGGACCAGTGAGTGCGAGCAGATGGTGAGGATGAGCGGGAGGGAGCAGGTGCCGCGAGGGTAAAGCAAAGGCAGCCGGACCTCCGCTGCTCAGGGTCCACCCAGGGAGCCCAGAGGATGGTGCGGACTGGGCAGTTAGGTACCCGCTCCTAATCCAAGGCCAAGACAGAGTAGGGTGGGGCCATACACAGGCCTCTGTATGACCTTCACCCCCCTAGTGAGGAAGGAGCCATGGGGAACCGACTTCTGGCCTCCCCTGCTTCCCGCCCACAGAGGGCACTGTGTGCCATTGCCTCCTTTGGGGCTGCCGACCTCCTGCCTCAGGAACACGTCCTCCTCCTCTGCCGGCAACAGCTGCAGGAACTTGGTGCAGGCAACCCTGGACCTGTGACCAACAAAGCTACCAAGGTGGGCATTGGGCCCTGGGAACAGCAGGGTCTGCCTCAGCTACCCTGGCAGTTTCCTCCTGGCTAGCCGTGCTCCCCTAGCTGGCCATGATCCCTACAGCCTGCTTAGTGGGCGGTGCCCACCTCCCTGGGGCTCTGGCACTGTGGGTGCCTTGGCCTCTTCCCTGCCTGGGCTCCCGGCTACCCATCCTGCCTCTGTGTCTGGCTCTCAACCTTGTGTCCTACGCACACTCTACCTTCTCCAGAGAGTTTCCCTTGGCTGCGGTTCTCCCCCGTCACATCTCCGGGCCTCTCCCTCGTGCCCTTCCTACCTACTTCCTGTTTTCCTCTAGATCCTAAGACACTTTGAAGCCTCCTGTGGACAGCAGCTCCCTGCCCTAAGGCCCTGTGCCCCGCCCAGCCCTGCAGCTGACCTTGTGGGCCCAGCCGATCTGCTGACCAGCCCTGTGCCACCCCCTGGGAACCAGGTCTTCCTCCAGCCTCTTAGCCCCACCACAGCAGCGCCCAGGAATCCTGTGCCTGCTCCATCGCCAGACACCGTTCCCCCTGCTCTGGAGGACGCCAGTGAGGTCACAACCCACCCAGTATGTTCCAGTGAACAGGGGACAGACCTTGAGCAGAGCCCGGAGAACACAGACATCCCTGAGGACAGCTCCAGTCCGTGCCTGTGGAGCCCCAACTCTTTGTTTGAGGGGATGGAGCTGGTGGCTGGCCCCCACCTGCCCTGCCCGAGCTCGCAGGGTCTCCAGCCAGGCTCTCAGAAGGCGACTGCAGAGACTTCAGTTGCAGGGCCATCAGCTTTTGCGTTTTTAAACATGTGACTCTCTGGGCCCAGCTGTTCAGAGTCCCCTGGTCCTCATATTGAGGCCCTCAGGACCTCATGGCCTCCAAGGAGAGGTCCTCGTGTGTCTTCTGGCCCCCTCTGGGCTCTCTTTCACCTAGGAAGCTGTGGTAAGGCAGTCTCTGAGCCAGCGGAGCCCCATGTGGGCCTCCAGTGGTCAGACGAGTCACAGAAAATGTTAGGTCTCTTAGTGGTGAACAGCCAAGGAGGGAGTATGGACAAGAGGGTCAGCGGTGTCCCAGAAGATGTCTGCACACCCATCGCTTCTTGGGAAGTCGACTCTGCCCATGCCCCCAAGATTGGTTCCCTCTTCCTCCTGGCAAGAGCCACATGAACCATTTTGGAGGTCTGTCTGCCCATGGCTGGGGGCCACTGCAGAGGCTTCCTGCTTCATGAAGTAGATCTACAGGGCAATGCTTCCCAGGGCTGTTGGCCACGGCTCCTCCACCTCCACCCCATGCTGCTCCAACTCTAGGGCACTGAACACAGAGGCCAAACACACACACACTGTCTCCCTCTGTCTTTCTCTCTCTCTGTCTCTCTTTCTCTCTCTCTCTGTCTCTGTCTCTCTCTTTCTGTCTCTCTGTCTGTCTCTGTCTCTCTTTCTCTCTCTCTCTTTCTCTCTGTCTCTGTCTGTCTCTGTCTCTCTCTCTTTCTCTCTGTCTCTGTCTCTCTGTCTCTCTCTCTCTCTCTCTCTCTCTCTCTCTCTCTCTCACACACACACACACACACACACACCACACACAGGCTACCTCAGTCCCCATCCTTTGCTAGGTACTGGCAATGGTTATATGGACTTGAATTCCTATGGTAGCAACCGGCAGTAGCAGGACTGCGGGGCTGAGCTTGGGTACCTGCACGTGTAAGGGTTGGAAACATTGACTTGGTTCATAGTTAAGGTTCTGATCTCGGGTCCTTCCGGAGGGAGGTCACAGCAGCTGGGAGCCACAGCCTATTGGGGTCGGCCACTGGGGGATTGTACCTGTGGCCATTTCCAGTGTCAGGTCCTGTAAGACCCTTCCCTGGATGCCCAGTTTGTCACAGTTGTTTTCTGTGACCATGGGAGCCTAGTGAACCTGCCTGTCCATTCCAGAAGAGCCTGTGGAGCTGTGACATGCACTTTTCCAATAAAACCAATGTTTACACAGCCTGTGCTGCTCTGACTGGTTTTTTATTCATCAGGGACACACTTCAGGGACTTCTCCTAATAGGACAGATGTTTTCTCCTTAAGTGTTCGGGGGAACTCCACAGTGGTGTTGCTTTGTCCTCACCTTCAAGGGGTTAGAAGGATATTCTGAAAGGAAGTTGTGGTGACACCACTCCAGGATGAGCAGTGAATGTGGCTGGAGAGGTAGCTTGTTCTGAGGAGTTGTCCTAAACCCCACCAGAGTCTCAGGGTCAGACACAGGACCTTGTGTGTATTAGGCAAGTGCTGTCTGTACAACTGAGCTGTAGTTCCAGTTTTTATGTAGTGATGAGCTGAGACCAATGTTTACAGGAAGTATTTTATGTGCATTGGTGTTTTGCCTGCAGGTTTGTTAGTGTGAGGGAGTCAGATCCCCTAGAACTAGAGTTACAGCAGTTGTGAGCTGCTATGTGGGTGTTGGGAATTGAACCCAGGTCCTCTGGAAGAGCAGCCAGTGCTCTTAACCTCTCTCTGGCCCCTGTTACATCATACAGCTCCAACAGTGTGGCTTTTCCTGGGAGTCTTCCTGTTGACCCTGGGAACAGGAACATTTTCACATAGGTTCAGCTGGTAAATCGGGGTTCTGTTGGAGTCGCAGGGGTAGGGGAAGGCTCATGGCAGCTGTACCATGGGAGTTTCCTTTTTCCTAATAACTGTTGATGACGTATGGGGGGGTGATACTGGAGATCCCTCCCCTCCTATAAGGGAATGGTAGCAGACTTGATATTCTGAGGGTCTTCTGTGGCTGCTCTGTTCACCAAAGCCCTGCTCACCAAGACTGGCATTGGGGAAGTCTTAAACAAGTAAGATGATGGTAGAGCTAATCAAATAAGGTGGACAATAGCGTCCATATCCTGGAGATGGAACCTGGGGTGTTATGTGTGCCAGCACCTGCAGGAGTAGTTAAGTGAGGAGGTCGTACCCTCCAGTGATGGTGCCTGGAGCCATCAATGTGTAAAAGAAAGACTTAAAGCATCTTGGCCCACACCTCAGACCTTACACAGGAATTTAGAGTGAACCACAGCCCAAGTATCAAACACGGAGGTGTGGCAGTGTGCTCCTTTAATTCCAGCTCTCAGGAGGCAGAGAGATGGCCCTCTGTGAATTTGAAGCCAGCCTGCTCTACAAAAAAGAGTTCTAGGCCAGCCAGAGCTACATAGTAAAACCCTGTGGAGGACAAAAATCTTTACCAAAGGGAAAAAAGCTTTGAATGTTACAGTTAAAGGTATGGAAACATCAGCCAAAGACAGAGAGACAGTATTTTTAGGTCGCGTGTCACATGTAGACTAACATGAACACCTTGTCAAGAACACACAAAGACCAGGAAGATGGCTTAGGCTGGTAAAGGTGCTTGTCCCACACGAAGCCTGACAAGCAGAGTTCAGTCCTTGCGACCCACGTGGTAGAAGAAGAAAATTGATGCATGACGGTAATCCTTTGACTTCTTATGGCTATCCGTGATGGTCAACTTGACCATATCTAGAATAAACTACAACCCAGAGATTTTTCTGCTTGGTTTGAAGTGTTTGAATCCACTTCTAGTCCAGACCTTTGAGGTAGGAAAACACAGACCTTTAATCCTGATCTTGAGGTGGGAAGGCATAAGCCTTTAAGACCAGAAGACACGGGCTTTCAATACGGGCCACACCTTCTGCTGGAAGTCTACACAAGGATATAGAAGAAGGAAGCTTGGCCGGGTATTGGTGGCGCACGCCTTTAATCCCAGCACTCGGGAGGCAGAGGCAGGCAGATCTCTGTGAGTTTGAGGCCAGCCTGGTCTACAAAGTGAGTTCCAGGACAGCCTCCAAAGCTACAGAGAAACCCTGTCTCGAAACACCAAAAAAAAAAAAAAAAAAAAGAAGGAAGCTTTTGCTCTTTGCCTGCTTGCCCTGGCCTTGGTAGTCATCCATTCCTTCCCGGTCACTGGCGTCTCCTTCAGGATTCCAGCATAAACAGAAGACCAGCTGAGTCCCACCCAGCCTGGTGGGACTGAACAACTACTTTCCATTCACAGCTGGCATAGTTAGAGTAGCTGGACTGCAGCCTGTAAAATTATCCCAATAAATCACATATAGATGTGTGTGTATATATTTATCTAGAGAGAGAGGGAGAGATTCATTCCATTAGTTCTGTGCCTCCAGATAACCCAGACTAAGACACCTGTCTACTTGTATGACATGAGTGTGCCCTCGTGTGTAAACACACCGTTTAAAACTCAAAACTAGAAAACCACCCAAATTACAAAGTGTATAAAAGATCTGGACAGACATGAAGGAATCTGGTGAGTGCATGGCCGATGAGCACACACATCGATCTTCACCATCTGAAATAGGTAAATGCAACTACTTGCCTATTAATGTGACTAAAGGAACAAGACATCAGCCACTCCAAGAACTGAGGGGACACACACCATCTGGAGTTCACTCGACACTGGCTGTGCAGTGTCTGGAAAACATCTTGGCGGTTTCTCAAATAGCCCTGATTTCTGCCGTAGGAATTTACAGCAGACAAGTGAAAAGCTATGTTTACACGAGAGTCAGTCAGTGAGTGTCTACAGCTGCCTCCGTCACATTTACTCAAACGTGGAACAAACCCTGGGTTATTCTTGAGATAAGTTAGGTAACATGTTCCCGCAGGCTGGAGTACTGAGGAGACAGACAACTGGGTGAATCATAGAGCTTTCCGGTGGGGCGACAGGAAGACGCTATGTGCCTCACCCCCTTGACGAAGCCTCCACAGGGATGTGCGTGGAGGTGGGAGAGAGACTCACTACTTCTCAGTGACCCGCAAAAGGATGTGACTTTTAATATGTACAAATCAAAGCTTTCTGTTAATTTCCTAGAAAGCCATCAGTGTTTAAAAGCACGTACCGTTTTTTGCACAGGACCTAGGTTTTGGTTCCCAGCACCCACATGGCATCCTGCAACCATGCATTAACTCCAGGTCCAGGATCCAGCACCCTCAACATGGTGTAGAGACGCAGGCAAAACACAAACACACAATAATCTTAAAAGGGGGAGGGGGAGAGCCGGGCGGTGGTGGCGCACGCCTTTAATCCCAGCACTCGGGAGGCAGAGGCAGGTGGATCTCTGTGAGTTCGAGGCCAGCCTGGTCTACAGAGCGAGCTCCAGGACAGCCTCCAAGACAATACAGAGAAACCCTGTCTCAAAAAAACAACAACAACAACAACAAAAACAAAAAACAAAAAAAAAGGGGGGGAGGGGAGGAAGAAAGGAAGAAAAGGCCAAGTGTGGTAGCACTTTGCCTGTAATTCTAGGCTTGGGAGATGTTCGAGGCCTTTCTCAGACACACAGATAGTTTGAGACCACGCTGGGCTACACGAGACCCCCTTTGTATTTGTTTGTTTTTCGAAACAGGGTTTCTCTGTGTAATCCTGGCTGTCCCGGAACTCGCTCTGTGGACCAGGATGGCCTCAAACTCCGAAGTCCCTCTCCTCTTTCTCTGCTGGAATTAAAGATGTGTGCCACCCTTTCTTAAAACAAAAAATGGCTAATACTTCTTTAGCATGTCCAAGCCCCCTGGGGCCACCATCCCAAACACACACACACACACACACACACACAAATTAATATATGCGGATAATTTTTTTTAAGCATCTGAGTTTATAAAGCTGTTATGTAACTCAGATTCGGTGTCCCGAGCGCTTTGGGCCAAGGGAGAGGAACCCACAACTGTGCACCTAACAGCGAGTGGAGTCATCCGGAGACTCCACAAGCTTCTTTAACGCAGTCAGGAAAGAACGGGGAGAGGCGGCACAGACATCACCTCGAGGTCCTATCAGGCCTGGGCGGGGAACCCGGGGTGTGCGGACCAGAAGCCCTGCCGCAGAAGGCGCAGAGGCCCGCAGGCTCCCCCTTCCTCCTGCAGCCCCGCCCCTTCGCAGGCTCCGCCTCCTGAAGGCCCGCCCCCGCCAGCCTCCACTCCACCTTGCTTGCGGCTGCTCCTCCCACGCCGGAACTTACAGGACAGCCTCGCGGCCCAATGAGCTGCCCGACGACCGGAGGGCGTCCGGAGAGCCAATCCCTGAGCGGCGCGCGTTGCAAAGGCGGGCCGGCGTGACGGACAGCGGAGGAGGCGCCAGGCTGGTTGCTAGCCGCCGCCGCTCGCCCCTGCGGACGGCTCTTTATTGTCACCCAAGGCCGAGGCCAGCCCCGTGGGGCCCCGGGTGGCTCTGCAGTCGAGCCCGCCAGGCCGAGCCCACGGGCCCTGAGCCCCAGGCCGGGCCCGCGCAGGTGAGGGGCATCGCGCGGTGAGGGATCGGGCCCTGCAGCGAGGATGGCCTGTGCCCGGTACCCCTCGCCCCGGGAGATCAGCGTGGGGTCCATTCGGGCGGCCCGGAACCCCTGCCTGAAATCCCGAGAGGCCTGGGAGATGCGGGTCGCCCGCGGTGGAGCACTCACTGCTCCAGGG